GGGATCAGCTGTTGCTGCCCCCGCTGCTGATTCCTCTGCTGCTGCTGCTTCTGCCTCCGGTCAGTGAGTTAATAAGGGGGCACACGTGCGTGCAGGACACACATGTGCCTGGATCCTCTCCTTCCTGCTGCTGGTTCCCGAGTGCCTCTGAATCGGCTGAATTCGAATCCAAAGTCAATACTTGCCACTTCATACAGGCCTAGTGGTGACTACTTAAGATCCCAGAACTTGTTTTATTTTATCAGTTCATTTAATGTATGAAGATACGAGCAAGAAAATGAAAATAATAATATTACAAAAATGGAAATCACTCCTATTAAAGCAGAAGGATGTACTAATCTGAGTTCTCTGGCACAACTTGGAAGGTTAGCTTTCTGTCTGAATGCTAAAAAATACTTTAATTTAGAGAGAGATTATCTTCCTTGGGCTATATGATTAACATATTGTAATTTAATGTTTTTATTATATTTGCCTTTGTTAATAGAAATGCTGCAGATACTGGTTTTAGAGAAAAGATGTAAGGTGAATTTTAAGGTTTTAAACTTCATTACTATTTTTATTTTTATTATGGTAATGCTCAGATGATTCTTTAGAACAGTAGCCAGCAACCATTTTTAGACTGCAAGCTGGAATGAACCAGCTCAGGGACAGATGGCCATGTGAATGCTTGGAACCGTCCGCTGTTGCTACTTCTCCCCATGGTGGAATGGGGAAACTTCTGCTGCTGAGTGCTGCAAAAGCCCTATCCGCAAGCCGGATTAGATAGCTTAGTGGGCTGGATATGGCCCGCTGAGTGTAGGTTGTCAGCCTCTGCTTTATAAGGACCTTGTTGTGTGTTGGTACTGTACAGAAAGTAGTGAATAAAGGTCTTAGCCTAGAAACATTGCGTTTAATAAAAGGATGAAAAAGGCTAGGAAGAGAGAGAATACTAAACATGCACATGCACACATACTAGTTTCCATGTAAGTAAATACATTTTTGCATGAATATTTTTATAAATATTGATGATTTCACCTGCTGTCAGCTTACCAGACACTTGTTCTCAGATTACTTGTAGGCTTTGTGGTAAGAATAAATATTGCCAAACGAAATGGAAGGTAGCCTTGCACACAGGTTCACAAGGTGTGCATCATGCATTGCAGTTAACAAATAAGTAGTTAACAAGTACTTAATTACTTGAATAACTAATTATTCAGTAATATTAGTATGCATTTTCATATGAAATTTAAATTAAACTTGATAGAGACAAATCCATTAAGAGACCCAGAGGGTTATTCCATGGTACCCATGCAGCTGGGATACTGTGTTTTTCAGTAACATTCTGCTGATCAGTAGGTTCCTATCTGTCTGTACAAACTTCCAAATTCTCGAAGAAGTGAAAAGAAAACAAAAGAAGATATCCTGTAATAAAAACATGGAGATACCACCAGGATAAGAGGGCTATCCAAAAGTCATTTTACCTTTTCGGAAAGTTATTTAAAATAAAGTGTTCTCTCAATAACACTGCAGTATAACATGGTAGTGTAGGAGTGATGTTGTAACCATGATGGTCCAGAGATCATGCAAGAGGCAAGGATTTCTTAGCATGATATTTTATATTGGACCAACTATGTAGCTGGGATAGAGTTAGACAAGCTTTCCAATGCCCAACACCCTTTGTCAGGTCCAATCAGAATGGGCTAGGAGCAGCACAGGTGTGCAATGTGCATGGTAAGAGAGGTTGTCTTAACAGACTTATGATTAGTATTGTTGGTTACAGTTTGTGTTTCACTAATATCCAGAGTTCCAAATCAAGGTCAACATCCCTGTGGTAGGTGATTTACATATATAGGTAGAGCCATTCCATATCTTAAGGAACTGCAGCTCTAAATGGATAAAACAGTATAAAGTAAGAGGGGAAAGGAAGAGTAAGGGGTGACATGACACCAAGGCTAAGTACAGACAGTCAAAAAGCCCAAGGCTGAACTGATTCAGTCTTTGCAGGTTAGTCTTAAGCTGCAAATATTGAACCAATAAGCAAATGAACAGACATTCACTTTTGATTCGGGAAATGCAGCCACATGCCTGCGGTGGCTCAAGCCAAAAGCTGGGGGGAGGGGGTGGAGAAGGTGCTAGAGCATGGCCCTCTGGCATGTAGCCAGCATGGGCTATGTATTCGCTTTCCTCTTCTTGCTGCCCCTAAGGTCTCTGGGATTTGCAGTCCACAATCACAGTAGCAGGACTCTGCAGCATCATTCATCACTTCCTCTTCTTGCTTCCAGGTGCCTCTGGGATTTGTAGTCCACAGTTGCAGCCTAGGATTTGCCCTTAGGATTTGTAGTCCTAAGTAAGCAGGTCAGGGCAGCTTCGTACTTGAGGGAAGGGAAGTTTAACCCCCCTCCCTGGTCCCAGCAGGGGTTTGTCAGGGGGAGAGGGGGCGGGCTGTGAGCTAGCTAGTGAAGCCAGTGAACCAGTCCTCACTGCTCCAGCTAGGGAGCAGAGAGGTAGGGCCAGCTCTGCTCTCTGGAGCAGACAGCCCAGCCCAGGGCTGCAAAATATTGGGATGCTGGGGGACTGATTTCACTTGAATCAGGAAGGGGTCTGGGACGGAAATTTCATAAATCGGTTTGACCTAAATTTGTTAAGTCTGATGCTACATTCAACCAGATTTATCTTTGTCACAACCCAAAGTTGTGGGTTTTTTTGTTTGTGTGCGCTTTGGCATCGCTAAATCATGTTCCCGCCAAATTGCAGCTCTTTTGCATTGTGGAGTGTTCTGCTGCAACAGAGAACCCGCGTGCAGGAGCTTTTCCCGCCGGTTCTGCAGCTTTCTTTGCATAGTGCATTTCTTTTGCATTATAGTAATGCGCGATGCAAGGAGTCCCTGCCATTTGTATTAAGATTCGCGCCACATTATTGGCCAGTCTTAATGTAGGCACACGTGGCGGCTAGCTATTGGCTTGCTAGCCGTACAAAAGGCTTGGGTGGTTTCCGCCCAAATCAGAGAGAGAGAAAGCACGTGGAGTTCGGGAAAGGAGCGTGAGGATCTCCAAGCGCTGCTGATCCATACGAATCCAGCTTTTTCCTTAAGAGGGCAACAGAGGTTTAATTTATCGAACCCAGCAGCCCAGACGTATCCCTATCCTAAGGACCCAATTGTCGAGCCCACGGAGTTTAACAGCTCCGGGGGACCTGGGAACCGAGTAACACTCACGGAGATACAGCTGCTCCGTGGGAACGAATTCTTGAACCCCGTGGAGCCTGATTCACTCCGGGGTCAAGGAACCGAGTTTATTAGAGTCCTCCACTGAGAACTCAAGCGGAGCTGAGCCTGAAAAGCTGACCAGCCTACACCGCGACCACCTTGGGTGTAAGTAAATAATCTTTTCAATCAACCATTACGCCTCCGTGACTGATTCTAGCTCGAGCGTCTCATACCGCATCGCGGTCTTTTCCGACCCCGTGTACCCGGGCTACCGGCCACAGCCTGTGTACACACAAAGACGGGTCCCCGGCTCGCCCCGGCTCGCCCATGGCGACCCAAATGGGATTTGGAGAGAGCTCGCACATGGCGACCCAGGCGAGATCGGAAGTCGGCCCGCACAATCTTAAACCATTTTCAACCATTTTGAAATTGGTTTATGTGCACTGAACTTCTATTCTGTTACAGGTTTAAACCAATTTCTGATCACTTAAACTGGTTTATGTGTAACTTCTGTCCCTAGCCTAAGGTTCTGAAACTTAAGCCCTAGTGCTCTATTCATTAAATTACTGGTGCTCATCTTTTGGCTCTGTGGGCTGGGTAAGTGGCACAGGTCAAGTCCATGGGCCAGATTGGGCTCCACATACCAGAATCAGGCCCCACACCATGCTGCTCAGCTCCTTGCCATCCGGCATGGCCTCCCTTGACCTCATGCCACCCCTGTCAGTACCATGCGCTTAATCTATCATGCAGGGCTGTACTATCCATCTTGCAGGGCTCTTACCCGCGTCTGGAAATTTGAGAGCAGGGGAGCGATAATTAGCTGCCCCCACTCTGCTGCTTAATTTTCAGGCCCATGGGCAGCCCCACATGATGCACAACATGGCCTTATGGGCTGATTTGGCTCATGGGCCAGGGATTGAGCATCCCTGCACTACACCATGCCACCTCCCTGCATTAGCTACTATTTTGAGGACATATAAAATTGGTGATTAGAATAACTAATGGTTTCTATCAGTGTTTTGAAACCCTATGTAAATCATAGTAAGAATTTCTGTGGCACAAGAGAGTCATGTTTCCAGAATCTGGTGCAGATAAATGTAAGTGGGTATATCTTGAAAGATTTAAACACCTTGTTTGTCAGTAGTCCCTACAACTGGCTATTCTGTATCTTGTTACAGTAATGCATATAATATACAGTACTGCAAATATATTCTTAAGAAAACCTAAGAAATGAGCATATAAAAAGACTACCATTGAAAAAATATTTATGATATTCAAATACATTAAATATTTTATTTGCTAGAAGACAGTAACCTTAATATTATTTAGTATTATTTACTAAATACTAATTTACTAATTCATTGTTTACTATTACATTAGGTTCCTTTGGATATACGTTAATTGACAGGAAAGCGATAAGGAATTTTTTCATGAAAATATTTAAAAATTTTTATTTTAAATAAGTTTTCTAGCACTAATTCAGAATGATCTTCATGTTTGTATAGAAATCTGCTGCTAAAATGTTTTAATGATTTTGTCTATTCTGTTTTATGCCAATTATGGTTTTTTTATTCTTCCTGGGCATGGATAGATATTATAGATTATGATGATTCTGCTCCTGGCTTTAACCCACGGAACATGGGACTGGTAAGAAGAAAAAAAAAAAAAAAAGAAAGAAATCTTTATTTTTTTTTCAATTTGCTGCACTGCATTTTCTCAGATGCGGGGAACTTTGTGGTTGAATTAGTGTGAATTGGAGATTGAGCATGCTTTAGTTGTTGAAATATAGGAATATATTTATCTAAGCTTGTTATCTACAGGTTTCCTTTGCTTTATGTGGGTTTTGTATGTGCGAATTTGCTCTTGTGCGATGACCCTTTTTATATCACAAATTCATTATATGCGAGGTAAATTCACTTTTATGTGATCAGTGTGGTGGAAGCCTGCAGTCAGCTGCTTTGTGTGTGGTGCATTGTGGGAGTGGCGCGCACCAAAATATAATCTCCTGTGTGGATCTGTGCTCCTCGCATGTTGTCTGTGACACAAGTTTCTGCAGTTGCCATCCCTATTATGGCTTCTAAGCATCCCATTAGCTTATCTCCTACCCATCTCTGCTGTTTGTGAGTACCAAAATTGTCATGTAAAAGTAGTAGAACTGGGTCTGGGGGTCAGCACAGTCACGGTCTTGGAACATATCCCTATTTGTTACATTGTAAAGTATGTTCCCTTTATGCCAATTCGAGTTATGCGCCGTTTTCCAGGAACACATGTACAGCATAAAGTGAGGGAAACCTGTATTTAGTGTTGAGGCAAGTTTAGGGATAGCACATAAGTCACCAGGTCTCTTCATTGAACCAGGAAACAGGCTCTGTGGCCAATCCATGTCTTGATCTATACCTGTGGCTGAATTTTTCAGTCTTGAACCCTGTATTGCCATATGCACCTGTGCAGAATGGAAGTAGATACTGTAATTGGAGTGAGTTGGTGGAGAACACTACTTCGGTAGCATTTACACTTTATGCAGGTGTACAGGACTAAACAAGGTGGAAGACAATAAAGAAGTAGGTTCTTTTCTTCCAAGAGGTGTACACAGTTTATTTTCTGACTCCACTAGAAGAACTGAATAAAGTGTGGGGTCAAATTACAATTCTCTGCCTGTTCTGCACTGGGGTATAATATTGTGCCTCCACGTTTCACAGGTGTGTGCTGTCAGGCAGGGTGCAAGGCTGTAAGGAATCTAGTCCTTGGAATGTCATAAGCAGTAGCTTTTAGATCATTGCTGTGACTTGTAGACACAGCTAGCAGAGCAGCTACGTGCTCAGAATACTGTTGCACTTTTATAGCTCTAGACAGCTACTGAAGTTGTCTTTAGACCTTTGATTTACAGTAAATATTCAGTTCCCTGCTGCCTCTGCTTTCTTTTCTCCTTTGAAATGAAAGTAGGTAGAAATTAAAGTGATTTTCAACACAGAGACTTGCATTTCAGAATTAATTCTGTAATAAATTGTTGCAGCCCTGTTCATTAAAAGTTCAACCTTCAAAGGGCATAATAAGGATAAAATAAATAATAAGTTTGTTAGTCCTACAAAATGTGATAATATCAGGGATTGGATATTATAATAATTTAGAATCATGCCTTTTTGAATAATGCCTAAAAGGCAGGAGCATATTTAGTGGCTTATATGAAATACAGTAGCAAATTAGATCTGGTTTCTAATGGAAGTGTCCATATTACAAAAAGCGCGCACACAGTTGTTGTCCCTGTAGGCAATCTTAGCAAAGAGGACTGCTATGGAAAGCAGCCAAAATCTGAGTAGTTAAGGACAACCTGAACTGTGTGTTTAAAATCTACCATTTTTACCACAGCGTAGGGCTGAAGTATACTAGAAAGCATTATTTTGTGCTGTTTGCTTCTCATGTGCAAAGTCCTATCTTATCCAGTACTTTATAATTTGGCACCTTTCACTCACAACTCCTACTACTTACTTTACTTAAAAATAGTAAGCAAAAACCCTCACTTTTCCACAGACACTTATACAGCTGAACTGAGTGTTTTTTGTTTTTACTTTTGTAGTTCAGGAATGACTCCAGTGAATTCTTGAAAAATTCACTATTGGAATCTGAGAGTGCTTTTATTGGTGAGTTTTAGTGGTATTTATACTTTTTATGCAATGTGTCATTTGATATGTTGTTGTTATAGACAACGTGATTATGCTACTGTTCTAAAAATCTCAAGTCACTAGATTTTTTCATAGGGGCAATTATCAGCATTTAGTTATTGGAAGGTCATCTTAAATTTGTCCCCTCCCACCACTGCAGCAGTAAAAGCAATGGTAAAGGGGCAGATGAGAGGGTGCAGGGGGCAGGTGGTAGGGGAGTAAAACTGCCCAAACACAGCCTCTTCCCATCCCCCCGCACCCCCTTGGCACCTTACCTTCGTCTTTCTCCTGCCTGTCCCCAAGCCTGTGTCCCAGCACACCCCCTGCTACTCCCCCCGCAACACTTGCACCTCCTGGCACCTGCTTCTTTCCCCATTACTGCTCCAGTTCCAGCATGTGGTTGCTCTAGCCCCAGTCTAGCTATTGCAGTGACGGCAGCTCCAACTGGGCCTTAGAGCTGGAGCCCAGGCCAGAGCCAGTTGATGCTGCTACTGGGCTGGAGCAGGACTAGGGCCACGCCAGAGCTGGAGGGTAAGTGATTGGGGCAAGGAGCCTGTGATGGAGGAGGTGGCAGGCAGAGGCAATGGGCAGGGCAGATTGGGGTGCAGAAGCAGTGAGGAGGGGGCAGCATGTGCAACTCCACCCTCAACCCTGACCTTGGGTTGGGGCAGAGTTGAAGCTGCAGCAGCTGCCCTCTCCCCTGCTGCCTTGTATTCAAAGCCAAGGCAAGGGGTTTTCCCCTCTTACATTAAATGGGGAAAAACTTGTCTTGAATTCAAGTAAATATGGAAAATGCTTCAGTAGACTTAGATACTTAGTACATTATATTGCACCGTGCTGAGTCCCTGACATTTTTTTAATACAAAAGATAGTTGGGCTGCTGCTTTTTTAACTGGTTTTAGCACCGAGATGACAGTTGATTTACAGGATGAATTGGATTACACTTAGGCACTGAAGTCTGCTTCAGCACCTAATAAGTGGAGTAGGAACTGTTACCTCAGTCTTGAAATCAACTAGTCAAGAGATCTTTCCATTCATATCAATATATTCAGCAAATATGGTATTTGAGGATTCTTGCTCTCGGGCTCCGAAGGTTTATATGGTTTATGGGTGCATGATCGCAGCATTCATTTAGCAAGATTTGACAGGTTTTTTTTTCTGTTCTTCCTGGGTCTCTTGTTGCTCCACATGCCCAACAGCATGGTTCTATATAGTGTTGTGCCTCCTTTCACAGAATCCACAGAGGAGCAATGTGAGACGCATCAGTTATGTTCTTTTTAAACTGTTGATGTCATGTAAATTTCATAGTCCAATGTGAAACGAGATGTGTAACTAAGTGTTTGAGGGTTGGACTCGTGTCTTTTTTTTAATGATTTTGCAAAACTTGGGATAATTGGGCCTTGTGTGGTATGCAGTACAAAGAGCAGTTATATGCGTTTTCCTCTAATTGGCCATTAAGGTTCTTCCTAATACCACCCGAAAGTCCCAAAGCCTGCAGTTTATATTCTTTAACAATAGGAGAGATACAGAAATTGTATGCCTGTAGATTTTATTATGAAACTAAAAACTACGCATTTGGTGCATTTTTTTAATGTGTAGCTGTTGCCTCTCTGAATCCAAGTAAGGGAAAGAATACTTAGTGCCTGTCTTTATAAAATCAGACTTCATGTTGGGAAATTACTTAAATTGCTTTCCAGTATCAGGTAATTAATAAAAAGAAGGTATAACATGGCATCAACAAGGGGAATCTTTCTACTTGATTCTGTGAGTAGCCTGCACTCAGACTCCTCTCGTACTAGAAAATATTTCACTTACTTAAATTGTGAAAGGATGCTCAGTGGTATGTAAGATGTAAGTATAAAGTATTAAGATAGTGCCTGTCCCAAACAACTTTTAGTCTGCAAAATAAATTTCAAAAGACAGGGTACTCTGGCAAACCCAAGTAAGGTGGTGACAGTAGACTCTGCATAGCTTACTGGTTTGAAGATGCTTGTGGCTGTGAAGGGTAAATCTAGAGTATACTTTTCAAGAAAAACTTGCATTCAGTATAAAAATACAAATAAAAGCACGAAAAACAGTCCATTTCGCCCCCTCCCCGCTTTTCATAACTTATTTTCAAATGGTATACCATATTCTGGCATATCACCAGGCAACAAGCGAGAATGGAAGTATGGGTTTAGTTATACAGTAGTTCCTACTTGTGTGCATCTCTGCTATGTAACAAGCAAAGATCTGAACTAGGAAGACTGGCACTTGGCAATTTTTTTACAGAGAGTCTTGTGCAGTATATTATGGCCACATGCAGATGTTACATTTCTACTGGGAGATTCACCACTCTTTTAATAGAAATGACAAGCTTATAAGCGTTAATTCAATTTCTTCTGGGGGAAACGTGCCTCTTTTGGCAGATCTTCCAGGTCTCAACCTTTTGCAAGAGTGCTGGGATTACACTGATGTCTGGAAGGCATAATGAGCAGGAGAAAAGGGGTGGTTGCAGGCTGAGCACCTGTACTGCTCCCTCTCCTGGAATCATTTCTAGCAGTGGACATTTTCCACTGCTAGAAATTAATGCCTGGTCATGGCCTATGTCTGTCTCTCGTCAATCCTTATAGTTACTCTTCATTAGTACCAAATGCACATTCAGGGTTTTGAAAAACTGCTTGTAAAAAAAACCTACTGATTGATAGATGTTAGTTTTTATGTGGTAAGAGTCCAAGTGAAATTAGGAATAAAAACTGCTGCTGTCTGTGGGCTACTTTGTCTATGAATTATGATGTCATTTCTGTAGAGGCTTGTAATAGACACAATGCTTATAGTAAAAAATTTTGAGCAATAATGGTAGGTTTTTCCAGTGGAAAATGCTAGGATCAGTCTTTCAGCTGGCTTGCCAGAAGGTTAAAATATAAGTCAGTATTAGTTTGGAAAGCCAATGTATTTCTTAGATTTTATAGACATTAGGGGCTGGAAGGGACCTTGTCCCCCCTGCTGCCAGAGGCAAGAAGTCTGCAGGGATCCAAATGCCTTTTGAATGAGTCCAGAGTAGGTGCTTGCACCCCCAGGGGGGAAGGAGGGAGGAGTCTGTTCCAGACCTTGGACACTCAGACTGTAAAAAAAAAAGTTTTTCCTTATATTGAGTCTGAATTGGCCTTCTAGAAGTTTTTGGTCATTAGACCTTGTTATCCCTTGGGGAGCCCTAGTGAACAACTGTTCTCCCAGATCCTGATGCACCCCCCTTATATACTTATAGTATTAATCCTCAGCGAAATTCAGGGAAAACAGATATTGGAAAACGGACTTTTCATTTTGCTACATGTCTTACTTGAACCTTAATTATTAAAATTAATGTTAGTCCTGCACTTTGAAACCATTCTGAAATAAATTTCAGAACAATATATGTTTAATAGCTTGTGATGAATTATTTTATACTGGTGGAAAACTGCAGACATGAAGTAAATATGTATGTACTTGGTACCACTTCTACTTGTATTATGATAAACGAACATGATTATATGCAACTATTTCAGAAGCTCAGTATGTAATGGCATTGCTTTATACATTTAGCAGGCATACTGGAGTCCTTTAGGTTGACTTAATAAATGCCATTATCTTTATGGCTCTCATATATTTAAGCTTATGGTGTTTAGCTAATTTGCTGTTTCAGAATCAAGTAGTAATGAAAAATATCAACCATTTGTGTTTTAACTTTTTTGCATGCTATTTGAAAAGTAGGTTCCAAACTGAAGAAAGAGTCCAAATGAAATGTTTTGAGATTTAAAAAAAATCTCAAAATGATTTTTTACTTTTGAAATGTTCCTCAGTTTCTTCATCTTCACAACAAATAATTCGTAACAATAGAATGTGTTCTTTTTGTAGTAAGGCTGTGAGGGGGGAGGTCTGCACGACTGACTGTCATTGAAAAAGTCAAGTGTGTTGGAAGCACAGTTTTAGGTACAGTGGAAGAGGAACTGCGCCTGCTGTCTGCACAAAGGCAGGGGCAATGGACACACTGAACCTAAGGAGCAATCCAGCAGCCTGATGGTCAGGCTGGCCATCTCAGGACCATTCACATGCATTTCAAAGCTGCTACTGTCTGTAGGCTACTTCCTCTATGAATTATGATGCCATTTCCCCAGCAAAGGAAGCATTGAAAATACTTAAAGGAGCAGACCGATGGGATCAGCCTGAAATATTTAGGTTCCATTTAATACTACAAAAACAGAGGGAAGAGGGGACTCGGTGATAAGCAGGGATCCTAGTTTTCTCTGATTTTAAAAAAATCCCCAATTTTCGGGTTAAAAATAGTAACCCAAAATCCACATTTTTCCATGATCAAAATGAAATAGCACTATATAGATATCTATATATTACCGGTGTTCAATTTTACTCACAGAAAACTGGATTTTGGATCACTTTTTTAAATCTGAAAATTGGGGATTTTTTTATCAGAGAAAACCAGGATCCCTGGTGATAAGATGACGCAGTCACATATGGTGTGTGTTTGGGGGGAGGGGTTAATGTGGGTGGAGCTTGCAGTTTTCTTACATGGTTAAGTCCCATATCTGATCTAGGGGCCAGCTTGACTTGTAACATCTTATAAAGTTCCAGAATCCCTTAGGAGCTTTTCTTCTACAAAAGAAATACCTCTTGATGAGGGAGATTTCTTTCGTTAGCATGTCTGAGTCAAGTGTTGTATATTATATTAGCACTGTTTGTTTAAAAACTAAATGCCATCAGATCAATTCTATGAGGTAAATTGGCAATTTTGTCTAAAGATTTGTTCTCTTTCACTTTTCCAGATACTAATGGGGAAACATTTCCTGCTTTAGAAGAAGGTTATGTATTTTCACAACCCCAATCATCTGCAAGGGAGAGGAGACGACTAAAGCATAAAGCAAAGGATTTTGCTGTAAGTATGAAATGCTCCTTTCCCTTCCTCTCCCTGCTCCCCACACTTCACACCCCCATACCCCTTCAGTATTTACCTTCCAATGAAAGACCTGGAAAAGCTGTCACAGCCTGAGATTAAAATGACTGAAATATTTATTTTAAAAAGATGATGAACTGGAGGCAATAGGACATAAGTAGAGAAAGTGGCGATTGGTTTGGAGAAAGAAGACTGGGTTCTTGTGGTCTGAGACAGAAGATGCAAGTTCCAGCAGGCCAGTCAAAGAAATCAAAGGAAACTAAACATGTAAAAGAAAAGAATTTATTTTTAGTAGTTTTCAAACCGTGTAGCTCAGTGGTGCGCAACCTTTTGGCCCTGTGGGCCAGATGAGTGGCGCACAGTTGGTCTGTGGTCCAGTTCCGCCCTGCCTGCCAGGATCAGGCCCCGTGCTGCCCTTGGTTGGCCCTACGTGGCCAGATCGGGCCCATGCAGGCCTCCTGGCCCTGCACACCCAAGTTGGCTGTGCACCACCCTGCATGCCTGGTCTAGTTTACAGGGCCACACTCTACCCCACAGGGCTCCCCATAATTCAGGAAATTTTGGCAGCGGGGGAATGGTGATTAATGTTGCCACTGCTTCACCACCGCTATATTTTTGGATCTGTGGGGAGCCCTGCAGGCTGGATGATATGCCAACAGGGGCTAGGTCTAGTTGGCGGGCTGGAGGCTGGGGGAGGATCTCCAGATTCAAAAAATCAGACCTCCATAATGTTAATCAGTCTGTCAGTCATGTTCAGTCAATCAGTCATGTTAGTCTGAAGTCAGGCAGAAGGCAGGGTAGAGAAGCACCTTAGTGAGCTCTTGCTCAAGAAAGTTTATGCATCTTGGATTCAGTTACTCTGTAAAGTACATCTTTACCCTGCCTTCTGGCAAAATATCTACAGGTACAATGGTGAATACCAATCTTCAAAAGAATATTAAACTTCATTCTCCTAGCCAAGCCAATCTTAAGTCTTAGGGGAGTTGGATATTATCCTACAGCTCTGTACTATAAGGTTTTCCTCTTAAGTCTCTGGTTTCAGCTGAAGTCAGATGTGTATCTCAGCTATTCTAGCAGTCTGCATGGCTGCTAGTTTAGTAGATGTTGTACATGTATGAAATAAATTGGTCATTTCTCCAGTAGCCATTTAGAAGTGGCATAATCTTTACTGAAACATTCCCTGGTTTCCTAAATCTGCAGAATGAAGTCCCTGTCAGCCAGTCTTCACTGCCTGACAGCTTCTCTTTACACTCAAGCTCCAGTCTCAGTGTTAATCAGCTGAAAGCCAGGAATGAAGAACGATTGAGAAGACTGACTGCACTTCAGAAGAAATCAGTTCCCTTAGGTAGGCCTTTGGACATTAGCAATCTGACTCATTGTGGTTAAACAAGAAATTGACTGAAACGGGTAAATTGGATTATTCTGAAATAATTTCATACTTTGTCTCCTGGAAAATTGGTTGATCCACAGACACTTGAGTTAAAGTATGTAGCACCTTTTCAGGGGTATAATAAAATGACACGATTTGTGATGCCAAGTCTAAAGAGTTCTGGCTAGGACAGTGATATCCAACCTAATACCTGACCTCTCAGTGGAAAGAAGTAAATCCTGCAAGACAGCTGGCCAGTTGTGCTATACACATGGAACTGTGTTCTGTTTTCACTCCAGTGGAGGTCAGTAAATGCCTGAAAGCATGGGGTCTCATTACCTGAATATGAGTTATACAAGCTAGAATTATTGTTGGCTATGACTTTCAAGCTGCCGTTCTTTCTTCTGAGCTCCTATGATAGAAGTGACATGCCTGGTGGCTGCATGTGGTATAGAAAGTCAATTCCCTTTTGTTTTAACTATATCTGCCTTTAATTACACGTGCAGATATGTGCCCCAAGCAGTACGTTGTGCATATTATTAGTGTAAATCTCCAATCCCATTTTAATGTAATCTTGTCAGTACCCCTGTCTGAGCAGTTATAAACATCTTACTCGCTCCTTATTTAGCAGGGATATCAAAGTACTTTAGGGACTGTAGAAAGCACAAATCCTATAGAACGGTTTGGGCCAACCGTCTTGGCAGACATTTCACAAATCAGTCCTGCACCCTTCCCCAGTGCCACTCTAGTCACCATCCTCTGCCTGATCTGATCTTTCTGCTTCCTTTTCTGTGCTCCCAAGCCAGTCTACTACTTTGCTTTCTATTCCCTCCCCAATCTGCTGTGTGCCACACACACAGGTTGCCTGTGCCACATGTTGACTACCTCTGCTGTAGAGTATATGAACCATGATATCTTTCCTTGACTTTGTTGCTGTGGGTACTCTTGGTCAGCAATGGCTACTGGGGCCTCCCCTGCACCCTAGGGTCACATCCGGACAAGCGTGGCCATGCAGTGTGGTGCCGCAAGCTTGTCTGCAGAACTATGTATTGCGCATTTAGATGTTCTCTGTGCTGCAAGGGTGTGCTGCCTGTGCGTGTACGACTTCACTTTTTTTTCCCCTCAGGTTTTTTTGACCCTTGGATATCCAAGAGTCAAAAACATATGTGGAAAAATAAGAAGCAGAGCAGTGCACACAGGCAGTGCGCACTGCTTAAAAGTGGAGCCGGGCTGCCCGGAGCCATGCTTCAGCTGCTGGCCAGGCTCCACGCAGTAGAATCACTATTGCTGCAGCCCAGGGAGGCCCCCAGGACCCCGGGTAAGGCTGCTAGGGCCAGCCCAGTGCTGGCCCCAGCCTTCCCTACCCCATCTGGGGTAACTTGCCATGTGCCAAAGCACATCTGGCACTGGCATTCCCTGGGGACAAGTAGCAGCGGTGCAAGGTGTGTTGCCACTACTTGTCTCCAGGGAACCAAATGTCTGTGCTCATCTGGACATGGCCTAGATGTCCTTGTCTGCCTGTGCTAGAGACCTGAATCACAGACTTGAGTCATGTGTTCCTTTGGTAGAGAAACAGATGCTAGAGACAGGAGAGGAGTAACAGATCAGGTACATAAGAGAACTATTGATCTGAGTTGCAGAGAACTATTGATCCTTCTCTGAAACAGTGAAATCCTTAGTGTCTTCTTCTGTAGAGAACAACTCATTATAAGACTTTATTAAATGCATGACACATTTTCAGCACTTTTGGAAGTGGCACAGGAGGGAAGAACAGAGTCATTTCCAGGCCTGGTAGGTTTGCCATGCCAGCCACATCCAAGAATGTAGACAAAGGGTATTCAGTCTGTTCCAAGGGACTTGAGGATGTTTTGGCAGTGGGTGAGAACAGACCTCGTTGTGGCAGATGTGCCAAAGTCCAGGCAGCAAATGCCTCCCAAGCCCAAATATAGGGAGAGAGACCCAAGGAAGCCAGACCTATTTGCACATGAAGGCTACCAGCCTCATCTAGCTTTCACATGCAAGTACTAGTTAGCAAGCATTGCTCACAAAATAAAATTGCCTGCACTGTGACAAACTATCTTAATTAGTGACCTGCCTTCCTCTAGACTGTGGAGGAACTTTTAAAATCTGTAATGAACAAAGGGCAGGTGACAGGTAGTACTTCCCTGCAAGCAACACTAGTGAGTCCAGTATACCTATACTCTCCATGGCCATATCTGAGGCAACAAGAACATCAACCTGGCACAAGCAGCTGGGATATCTCAGGAAGGCCCAAATACTGGAAGATCTTCCCTTTGAGGGCAGTGAACATTTTAATTCAACAACTGAGACCCTCCATTTGTGAAATGACTCCACAACTACCTTACATTCCTCGCATCTCCAAGAAGAGATGAAGACAGACAACAGCTTTCCTTTGGCCAACAGCACCTATCTGGTACTGTCACCAGTCCCTAAGAAAAATACCAATACAGTACCCAGGAATAATGCCCCCCCCCCCCTTTTTCCCCTATGACTTTACAATTCATGTCTTTTGGTAGGCAGATTTGGCACCAGTGTTGAGAGCCTGCCTGAACCTTTTTCAGTTTTGCAAGAAACCTAAACTCTTGATGACTTCCAACCCATGAGGCCTGGAAGTCAGAGATGAGAGGTATTCTGTCTAATTCATTCTGCTACTTTAATCTTTCTTGTCTGTTTTTGCAGTGGCCATTCTCAGGAACTGCTTTTAAAGTAGTTATGTCTCCTACAGTTTGGAACTCTGGAGGAAGTAGCCAAAGGAGGGTCTTTGACATCTCGCATTCATTTGCCATTTCCAGTTGTGTATAGTAACTCTGACCTCATCATTCCCTTGCAAGATTCTCACGAGTTCAGAGCTCTCAACCTGCAAGATGCCTAGTCAGATAGCCATTTGTCCAACCTGGTGTCACATGGTTCACTAAATTATTACTAAATACCTAGCCTAGTCACCTTATCTCTGCCTGACATTAGTTTCAGAGCAGTAGTCACATCCTCTACCCTGACCCAACCTCACTGCATCTGACTGCCTGGACATTGCTTGGGTGAAGATGCTACTTAGATGGGGTTCATAGATGCCTGTGATGGCAGGGAACTGGATCCACTGACCTGGGTCATCCCTTCCCGTTCTAGGTGCCTGAGATTTCTTTTGGACTTTTAATTCCTGGCCCTTCATTGTGCCATTACACAGCATTTCTAAGAACAGCATTACTTTCAAGCTTCATTTCAAATTGACATACAAAGTTGTTTCAGAGTTCAAAACGAATCTGTTAATTAAATAGCCTAGTTTATTCCTCAAACCTCACTCAACCCCAGGGGAGCTAAATGTTGCACACTTGTAGTAAGGACATTATCATAGACCTGAAAGAGAGAGAAATTATTCATAAACTTGCACAGATTGTGTATGGCATTTGCTGAAAGGGCTATTGAAATTAACCTCTGCTTCCAGTTTGAAGGAAGTCTGTCTTTTTTAAATCTCTAGAGCAGCTAGCCTACCCCTTGAGACACTACTTGCCTGGTGGAGGTTTCCAGATGGGATGCCCAGGTTGGTTGGGCTGTCCTATGGTGGTGGTTTGGGTAGGACTCCATCTGTTTGCTTGGCAGGGGGTTAAAAACACTGAAAGGTAAATAATTTGTTTTTGCTGTGAAAATCTCAATTTTCTTTTGTTCGAGAGGGTAACAAATTACTTCCTTTCTATGGAGGTGAAGCTACATCTAAAGTGGCAAGTGACAGATGATCTCTTCAAAATAAACTTTTTTTCTTTTACTTTTACATAAAAGCCAGAAACGGTGTTAGACTGAGAGAAAGGGAAGGCTAACAATACTTATTTACTGTTTCTTAATATAAAATGAATAGCTGTGTAGGCTTCACTGCTAAATTGGTACAGGGTAAGCAAATGTCAAAATCCTATTTTCAAACTTGTGTTTTTTTTTCCCTTGATAGGTTAGGTTTTTCATCATGAATATCTGGATTCAAATTTTTAACCTTTTAAAAAGTGATGGTCAGGGGTAAGTTGACCAGACAGTATTTCATTAAAAAATATGTAGCTAGCTATAGAAATAGACTTCTTCAGAATTTCCAGGGATCCCATGCTGGAGCTCAGATTCCTCTGCTGAGGCTTTGCAAGATCTTCAGTATTAGAGGTACTGAAAGGGAAGAGCATCCTGTGCTGGTTCCCCCATGCCACCCCTTCACCAACCATTTTGCTTTGTAGGGGACTTGTGAAATTAGGACCTGTCACCTTCAACCTCAGCATCAATCAAAGATAATGACTGTTCCAAGAATAATGGGGTCTTGGTTTGCCCTCTTTTCTGATAATATTTAAAAGGGCTTTCTGTAATTGGAGGGAGTTTTAAGCTTACTGGTGGTGGTGGCTTCCTTTGTAACAAGGCTACTGAAGTGTTTTACAGCATGCTGCCTCTGTTCACCATCGCTGAGGGATGTGGGGAGAGCTGTTGCTCTAATGTTAAAGTCTGGGGCAGTCCTTCGCTTATTCTGCTGCTGTTGTTCTAGGAAGAACTGTTGACCGTAAGGGTTAAAAGATGTTAATCACTTCATAGTGGACGTGTCTACACGAGATGCTTAATGCGCAGTAGCGTGCTGGGACAAAAATGTGCTGATATACTACTATGCAGTAAGCATCACAAAAAAACCCTTTCATTGGCACTACTGAGGAGTAACTAGTTACTGTACATTTAGCTTAGTACTTCATTAAGCAAGTGCTAAACTAAATGCACAGTAACTACTGGGCTTTAATGAACGTGTAAATGCGCCCAGACAGGATAAAACTGACTCTCTGTTTAACATCAACCTTTTTGCCTCAGATGATCAAGTGAGAAATTAACCACCTTCTGTTTTTACAAGAAAGGGTATTTGTAACATTTGTGGGATGTTATTCTTCACCAAAAATGTATACTTCAGCCTTTCCTAGTGAGAGTATAAGGAGCTGACCAGCATCTGAAAGGTCCTTTCTGTGCCTTGTTACAGTATGTGCTGAAAACTTTAGTATGCTATTATCACTGTAGTTCCTTCATTAGGTAAACGTAATGGGCATTTGTACACATTTGCACCATGTTGCTGGGTGCTTTTAAAAGTGCCCAGTACTGTGGCGCATACACTTGTATAAATGGTGAAATGCCCATTAGTGCTGCGAAAATGGCAGTGGCATGCTTTTGAACTAAAACACATAAAGGTGTTTTAGTTCAAAAGTGTACTGCTGCCATTTTCTGTGCACTGATGTACATTTTGCCATTTATACATATGTACGCAACGTAGCACTGGGTGCGTCAGCTCGCATACAGGGCGGACATAACTAAGTCTGCTCCGATGTGCTGGATCTCTAGCATGCTGGAGCATTCAAATGTGTGTGTATAAATGCCTAATGCATTCCTAACATCCTTACAAAAAATATGCAAGTAATCCAATAGGATTTTCCATGCACACACGCAACCAAAATAATACTAAAAAAATCTTGTTTGTCTGAGTGAAGAGGTGAGGGAGAACCTTTAGAAGAATTATGTAGAAAGATCTCTCACTGTAGGTTTTTGGCTGCATAAACTTAAGAGCCACACATACACCAATATAAAAACAGAGAACAAACCTTTCATGTTATCCCACAGATATAATCAGCTAACTAGTTTGATTTTTTTTTTTTTAATTTTTTATCCCCCCCCCATCCCACATCTTAAGTTTAAGTAACTTTTAATAAGTTTTCAGTGAGGAAACAAGGTTGCCTAACATCTTATTTGACAAAACATAAGGCCCAAACTGTGCTACTGACAGCAGATCACCCGCGCGGAGCCCTACTAGTCAATGTATTGTGAAGTCAATTCCATCTAAATTTAAATGAAAGTCTTTTTTTTTAAATAACTAGAATTCAGTAGTTATTGTTTCTCTCTTTTGGGGGAAGACAGAATGAAGGGGAAAGGACTTTTCCCATGGTTATGGACATATGGAACAGGATCAGAGCCTAATCTTTTATTCCCTCCCTCCCATTTATAGCTGAGACATCTGCTTTTGCCTGAGCAGGAAATGTAGGGCGAGTGGGTGGAAGATTAGGCTGTCCCTATTCCAGTTCAGCTGTGAAAGGGTTAAATCTGTAGCTGCTGCCAAAGACTAAACTTGGCCCCCTCCCTCCATCTGAGCGGGGAGAGGAGAGGGAGGGACAGGAGGAAAAGAGTCCGTAGCCATCTTAGTGTTTCTTCCATGCCTCTATTATGGGCAGAAAAGTCAGCTTCCACACTTAAGACTTGCACCCCAATTTTGGAAGGAAAGTTGCCTGTGGTATGCAAGTAAATATGATCGTACCCAGTTTACTGTATGTAAGGGATAATATACTCCAATTCAGTAAATCTTTAAAATCAGAAACTTGATCTTAACTTGAACATCTTTATTATCCAAGACTAATTAAGCCATTTTTCTTTTGCTTAAAATAACTTTTCTAATTATACTAAGTTGTTTTAATTCTTCCATTGCTTACTAGTTTGTGTAGGGGAAGTGTGTTTGTTTGGATGGAAATAAACACAACTCTCCAAGCTAAAAAGCTCTAAGCTTTGTTCATAAAAAATAAAAGGAAAAAAATGGGCAACATTTTTAAAGTGAAAATGCCCTTTTTCCTGAGCAGGTTCACAGGCAGGAAAGTGGAGTCTGACTTCAGCACCTCTGCAAGGGCTATTACGTTAACTATGCTCTCATGTACTGTAACCACCCATGCAAGAATACCTTTCTAAATAATGCATGATGATGGGAATTAACAGCACTCACTGCCTGGTCAGTCCAAGGTCACTTCCCCCATTTGCATCATTATGAGACTACTACATGTTCAGCGGGCAGTTACTACATAGAAGGTGAACTGCTGTAAGCTCCTGCCCTTGCTCATCTACAGTTAACTTACTCTTGCAGCCCTGCCCTAAGAGGACAGAAGCCTCTACATAACATCACACATTTTTGCATCTGTATCCAAGTAGCAAGATTATACACCTGTTAGGATTGCTTGACCTAAAAGTACTTGTAGCAATGGACTCTTAGTTCCTGATGGTAAGGGGCTATTTTTGTGGGGGAGAAGATGGATACAAACAATGTTACTTGAAAACTAAGCAGCTTGTTAGTCAGTCAAATGGATGCATTTACTGGCTCCACGTGACAAAGCTACCTCTGCTCTGCATCGGGTCCAAAACCTTTTCCTTACTCCTTGGTTAAAGGGCACATGGGCATGCACAAGCCAGCCTTAATAAGGACTTTGAGAGACATTTACTTCTCTGAAACAGCCTTTGGTATCAGTCTCATGACAGCTTCCATAAAGGTAGGCTCAAGATCAGAAAGCAAAGACTGGCCTTCACGGTTAACCATCTACTATGGATAAGATTCTGCCTAAATCCAACCACGCATCAGCATACTATAGAAAATCACAATGACACACCCCGGAAATTTTCAGGAAATAGAGTAGTTGTCCTTATAGACCAGTTTCATTTGAGGCATCTCCCTGTTCAGTGTGTTCCAGGTCTTTGTCTTGCTGTGAAACATAGCATGCTAAGAACGAAGAAATAGGTTAATTTTAGTGAAGAGGTAGCACCGAAGTGATGGGCTTTAATGTGTTGTCAATTCTCTTCCAGGTGATGATGTTTCCCTGGGAGATGCTGATGCTACTTTGACTCACTTCCCATCCAAAGATGGCAGACGGCCTAAGTCTGTTGACACAGTAGCTACAGACCCATGGCTGCGACCAGGCACATCGGAGACCCTGAAAAGGTTTATGGCTGGAGAGTTGAGCCAGGTTAAAGTTACTTCAGAAAACCCATTCCCTTTTAGTTGGCAGGGCCTGTCAACTGCACACGGTTGAATAAATCCACATTGAAACCAGCTGTGCCTTTCATCACAGAAGGAATGTTAATCACTACTGCACTTTTTATGGTCTCTTATAGCGATAGTCTTATTTTGTGTAAATATTGTGAACTTTTGTAAAAGATTTTTAAAGTGACATGTTCAGAGAGAAACTATAGTGTGACTGATTTCTGTAAAACAAAGAAATGTATAGAGGATATCTTATTATTCCTGTGTTAAAGTGTACTCTTCTATAATTTAAAGAAATCACTTTTTTTTCCATCTGTGAAAAACTGAAACATGTATAAACTTGGTGTTAAATGAAAGTGAATGTTTTAAGTGCTGTAAATGTCAGACAAACTCCAGAAATCTTCAGTCAACCAAAAAGCACAACAGGCAAAGGGTACATCCTCCTTTATCCTATTCAAGGAACTTCTGCTGTTTTTATGGAGTAAGAATAGCACTTGGTATTTGAACAAGCAATGAGGTTGTTGCCTGTTTATGTTCAATCAGTGGTTCCTGACTTACAGCTGAGAGAGCTTTGTGGGCAATATTTTGATATAAATTATTGTCTATTACCATATCAGTTGCATTCTACTTTCCAGAATCATTTGAGTTCAAGATATTAACTATAACTTTCTGACTCATTGAATGTATTGACAGTGCAAATACTGAGAATAATTTATGGTTATGATTTTTAAAGTTGAATAAATTATATTTTATTAAAATAAACTTGCATAGTGAAACATGGATGAGAAGTTAAAAGGAAGACTCTACCTCTAGAGAGAAAGCTTCTGCCAAGGCAAAAAGGAGAAGCCAAGAACAGGGAAGAGATGCTGAACTCCAGGAGGGGAGAACAGCAAAAGATATGGTCAGAAGTATGTAGATCCTAAAGAGGGGGCTAATTTTGACTTTTGAGGGAACAGAAAAAGGGTTGGCTGGGTAGAAGCAAGAGAAAACAGCATGACTCTTAAGTTAAAACATGCACAGGAGCAAGAGTAATGATAGTTAAAGCTAGGTGTAGAAGTAACTGAAACAAGGGAAATGCTTCCTCAGGGCCATAGGGTAGTGAACCTGTGCCTATATACTGCAAGTTCAAAGCAATGGCTGTAGCCCTTTACCTGTTAGTCTACAAGGTGCACCTTAACTTTGCCGTCAAACTTAAATATTCTTGGTCATTAAGCTGTGTTAGTCTGAACTCAAAAAAAGCGCACCCTGATCTGGATGTTACAGGCAGCTTGCAGCAGTGATTGTCACCTTAGTCAGACACTGAGTTTATTCAAGACTATGTTCCTGGCTCAGCAGGGCTGCAGGCAGCACTGTAGCAAAGTTTAACTCCTCCATTCAGAATTAACTCTGCACCTCAAGGGATGGACAAGCTGGCATATGGCTTGTGCTGCAGTTCATAGGGAAGGTTGTAGAAGCTGAGTTTTCTTGCGAGTAGCTCGCCTTTCTCAGGGCTTCTGGCTTTCCACACCCTCCAGTGCTAGGCAAGATGGACAAATGGTTCCTGTACTGATTTCTCCTCCAGCATTGCTCTAGGGGGAAAATGATCTCTCCCTTGAACTGCTAGCAGCAATCATTTCACCTCCAAGCAGTGTAGCCTTCCAAAATGGTAGAGAGCAGGTCTCTGTTCCTAGTCTTCCACAGCTACATATTTAACAACCCCAGCAACACAGGCCAAAAAATAAACAAACAGCTTTGAAATGTAGGCATCTTATAACCACTGAACAGAAAATATGAACAGGCAAATCCTTCTTGGAATGCCTTTGCCATGAAGCCTGAAAAAAAATAGTGACAACTAGGCTGCTGGATGGATTGAGACTACCATTTATCACATTGCCTCTATTTCCTAGTACTCTGCCATCTGGCCATAACTGTGTCTCAATCTTATAGCTGGACACTTCATACACTTTTCTGTCCAAATAGTTTACAATTTTTGCTCTGCAACTGTACATGACATAGTACAGTAATACACACGAATCGTTTTACTGTTTTATCTATTGCATTTCCTTCTATTCAGCCTTATGCAAACTAGTCTAACTTCTGGCTGCTCTATTAAAGAGCCTGTGCAAATTCAGTTAAAAGCATGACAGGTAAAGAAAATGGTGAAACAAGTAGCTGTAGATTGCACTGGTTTTGATTGCACTGATGAAAGAATTCAAAAACTTTATTGACCTATAACCTGATTAGAATATGCCAGATGAGAACCAATATTGTACAGAAAGTTGTACAGAATTTTTACATAGAAAACTTTACATATCTGTACCATATACATTTTATCCATCTGAAAAAATTTTCTACATCCATTGTAATACAGAATGCTTGACAATCTTGTCTTTTAACCATCAGAGCACAATTCACAGTATGAATACATTTCCAATAAATTTAACCATCCCCAAACCATGCCAGATTTGTTACTTGAATATATTCAACATTAAATTCTGTACATAGAGTGAAATCTACATCAAACAAAAACGTGTGTGACAGCAGAGACAACCTAGACTTGTTTGCAGTGATTCAAGTTCCAGTCCTTGAAGGATCATCATTTCAAAGGCTCATTATATTTAAAAGCCCTAAAACAAGTATATTACAAGTAGTTATGTCAGTTGTGATGTTTTCTACCTCTGTTCTTGACAAAAGTCAGCAACACTAACTTTTGGGCTACAACAAAAACAAAAGTCACAACTCAAAAAATAAACCCAAACTTCTAGTGCATTTGAAAAACAAAATGTTATGGTTCATCAGCAAATCAATTATACAGAAACCAAACAAAACAATGCAGGAAGAACTGTATAGTGTTCAGGAGTATATTACAGACCTGCATCTCTGTACATTTTCACAGGAGGATGATTACCAGTATCTCAGACAGCCTGAGTGTGCAAAAAATCTTCAGAATAAGAATATCAGACATAGATGCTAAATGTCTTTTACCATCAACAATAATTTCCATTCTTTTTCACTATAAACATTTTATCCTTCAAAATACAGCTCTCCTGAGTTGTACTTCTTGCAGAAGTTCAAACCTTTACATAGTTCTTTGGGTATTTTTACTTTCACCCCCAGCATAAACATCAGTTGCTATACTGCTGTCTAGGACAGTAAAGGATATTGTAGCCCATGCTGACAACAGGACTGTGCTAAAAACTGGCTCGATGCTCAACATGAGCCAGGCAAGAGAAACAGAGATAACCCATCAGAAAACTGCAAGGGACTGGAGGGTTGGCAAGCCTTAATTACAGTTATAAGCTGTACCATTAACCCTTAGATACGCTGCCATACAAAAAAACATTCTATGGATATCCAGACGGAGCCTCAGCTACCTGGTCCTTTTACATAGATAGAATCATGTAACAGAGCAATATTCAGTCTCTGTATGCTACTGCTTGTTTGTTCCAGGCTCCTGCTCTGGTGGGTGGGATATCTGGAAAACTACACCAATTCGCAGGAAAAACCTTCGCAAAACAGCTCGAAGTTCAGGGATTAGGTCAAACTGCATAATTTCACACAAGAGAGGATAGTAGAATGAGGCGTGTGCTCTGAACTGAGGAAGGAAAACAAATAGTTACTCTATTAGGCGTTACTCATTTGACAGCCTGTTCTTCAGACTCCCAATGCCCTGCCCGCTGCCAAGTGAGAAAAAATTACAGCCAAAAATCAACGGAATTCAATTAGAAGCAATTTCATTACTGGGACTAAGACTGCATTGTTTTAAAAATAACATGCACGCAGACTGCACTGGCTAGATATCGTTCTCTCTTAGCTTGCTTATTTTAAAAGGGAAAGGATTATCCTTTTACCAGTCCAGATTTATGTGCCGTCAGCTTGAAAGTGCAGCCATCAAATGTTATTAAAACCAGGAAAGTTTACAAAAAATAATATATTTTTCCCTGCTGAAATTCATACTTTATATTCATCTTTGCTGAAACATTTTGATTCAGAAAGATGTGCAGACAATTGAAATTGATTATTATTCCCAGCACAAAATACCATGAATTAGGAATTATGGGAAGTCCTTTGGAGTAACCACTTCCTTATTTTGGGAGGGACTAATTTAACTAAGACACATGCTAAGGGTTACATTATTCTTTTCCAATTGTCCTGCCATCAGCCTCGGTGACTTCCCTTGATGGTTGTCACCACCTCAAATATTGTTTCAATGTAGAGTCTAAATTTTAAGCTACCAGATACATTTTTAAAATGTGTTACAGACTAATAAAAATTGTACCACAACACAGTCTTACTGCATTCTTAGTGGGATTTTTTGGCTTCATGCTTCCAAAGCTATCTAAAATCATAAAAAAGTCTGCAGACAAAGCTTAGGACCAGTTTTTATCTGCACCACTTGATTTTAAATAGGCCTCACAACAGATACTTACCCTTTCATCACTTATCTTTAGGACCTTAGTCAAGAACAAGAGAAGGAGATTAGTCCAGGCTTCCCGATGACTTTCTGATGTAAGAGTAAGGAAGTAACTCAGAGCTTCACTGCAGACACTAGACAGAACATACAATTATGAGACACAATATTCACAATTCCTACTCTACAGAGTCATATGACTATGTTCCAGAATGCTGACAAAGGGGTGGTGCTTGTTTCCAGCCAGTGGTGTTTTCAGAGCTATCATGTTTTCTTCAAATGTACTACCAGGCTCTCAAAGGGGTTAAAATGGAGAATGCCTTCGAGATAACTGTGCATCTGTCACTTCTGGAATTATCTGAAGATGGTCTTCATGCTGATTTATCAGGCACAGTATCTACAATCCCATCATGCATTCCAGCCATATACACTTCGTTCTGTCTGTCACTTTAAATGGTTTTGTGAGCTAAGAAATCTTGCACGCGTGATCATTCAAAATAATTACTTAACACCCTTGAGAGGCTCCTGAACCCTGAAACTCAGAGCTTGTTTTCCATGATGGAGAATGTCACGAATCCACAAAGAAAAGTGCAATCTATTCTTAGATCCACAGAAAACTTGACCTCTGCCTTAAAAAAAAAACCCAACAAAGTCAATCTCCTACTCCCATCTGCCCCCCACAAAGAACCGAGACTTCCTCAGTCTTAAGTTCTCCCATTGCTATAAAACTTCTATGAAGATCGTCAAGAGAGACAAATAGTCAGAAATACCTTTCACCCATTCAGAATGGAATACATCAAGGAGCCTATTTCCTTTATAACATCAGCTACTGTATGAACAGCAGTTAGAGCAAATTCAATTGCTGTCTATTTAAAAATATACTACATCCACCTATTACAATCTTACTTGAGTAGTCTCCGCTGGACTTCCTCCCATGCACTAATGCGGCTTTCATCCATGTACATACGGAAAAGAATGCGCAAACCACACGCAAGGCTACTTGTCTCTTGTTTAAGAAGATTTGGCTTTGATTTTCCTTTAAAACCTGGAAAATTCAAGATGCACATTGAAATTTGTTAGTTTAATCTCAAACTACAACAGTGCCAAAAACACCCCAACTGACTTGTAAGATGCTGGCATGCTGGGGCGGATGATGGAGGAGCTATGAGGGGCCCGATCCTTGTGGCAGCATAGCCCCAGACCCGTCCCTGCTGTCCACCCTGAGGTGCATGCATGCCAAGCAAAATGCCACTCATGCATGCCAGGGGTTGCTGACCCATGCAGTAGACTCTTTAGCATAGTTACTTGCAAGGAGACAGTCAGTTATTACCCAGTATATTTCTTCCAGCATGTAGCATACAAAGGGGTACTGCTATCAAAGCATAGCCAAATACTACAATTTCTTGCATACAAACATGCCTTCATGTTAATATATGCACCTTGCTTTTGAAAGGCAGACCTGCCCTTGAAAATACAGGTACGGTATGGTATTTGTGAAGGCAAACAGGCAGCTGTAGTTGGGGTTTGGAGGCTGAAGGGAGGGGAGAGGGAGCACAAAACACTGTGGGCGTTTGTTCTGTTAATCTCCTAGCTTCAGGACACTAGGTGGTGCTGGATGAGTCAAAGTGGTCAATCACTTTTTCTGGAGCTGAGCTGGGTGGGCAGCCAGCAGCTCCTGCCAGACAGGCCCAACTGTAGGAGTCTCTGCCCCAGCATCTTGGGATTAGCTCCACTTTAAAAAAAAAAAAAAAAAAAAAAAAAAAAAAGTTCCCCTGGCAGAGGCTCAGGTTGTAAGAGAAAGTGCCCACAGCTAGCAGTGAGGGAGCCCCCGCCTGTGCAGCGCAGGGGCCATCACTTTTTGTCCCTGAGCAGAGGCTCAGGCAGTAGAAGTAGCTATTACCACATTTTCCATGCACCATTTTGGTTTAATCTTTAAATTATATGAAAGAAAACATTCAGGTAGAAGTAAAAGACACTGAACATGAATTCAGTGCTGATGCTGCAAGGCAGCATAAAAGCCTCAACTCAAAATCTCCAAAAGATCTGTTCAAAACACAGTAATGATGTGCTACATTTTTCTAAATTGACAGCACCCACCTGCTTTCCAGAGAGCAGTTCTTTGCTCATTGTTTGAATTAAAAGCCTTAGCAAATCTGTGTGATTCTAGCAAACAGTCCAGCAGTTTGAAAAGCTGCTGCGATGTTAGAAAACGATACATTCCTTGATCTTGTGTGTCCACGTGAACGTCAAAGTCTACTGCATCCCTCTTCAAAAAAACATAGAACAGTCAAGAGTTTACTACTGCTTGATGGATGATCAGGACAACCAAGCTTTGTAATATCGCTTGAGGGTGAGAGGTTGTCGAAAATGTTTTATGTCTCCGCACCTTATTTCTATCCACACATGCACTTAGGATCAGTCATAAAAGCAGTCCCACTTATAAAGTGAATATTCTACCACCCTTTAGAAACTTTTATATTTAAGTCACAATAAAGCATTCTGGCCCCTGTGTAGGAAGTCTGAGTTAATGTAAGGTTTAACAGACACTTCATTTGTTCACTGGATATTCTCTAATTGTTCTAAAATTGTTAGTTACAAAACCTTATGAAACTTAAAAGCCATCAGTTAAAACCTTTAAAGACTAATACCCA